CAGTGTGAACACAACACAGCGGTTTCCCTTCAGCGCTCTCTGAGCAGTGCTGTAACTTTGCCAGTGTAGACGTGCCCTCAGTATCTTTGTTGCTTGCAGCATAGGTGGGGGGCAGGAGAAAGGCCTTGCATGGCCCCCCAGTGTTCCATTTTATACTCTCAGTCCATGTGCTTGGAATAACACAAGTCCAGGCATGTCTGGGAGGCATTGCTGAGTCTCCAGGCCAGGTTGAGCAGCAATCCCCCTGGTGTGGCCTCATGCAGGTGAGTCATTGGATTGTAGCTCCCTTGCTGGACAATGGCTGTTGATGGGCTGTTTCACACCCCGCCCGGGCGTTGATTACTCTCCTTGCTGTTGCCTCTGGGGAGCGAATATGTGGCTGATTCCCCAATTTACAGCATGTTTTAGTATCAGGGGGTAGCCTTGTTAGTCTGTATCCACAAAAACAACAAGGAGTCCATGCATCTAGAGAAGTGAGGTTTTTACCCACGAAAGCTTATGCCCAAATAAATCTGTTAGTCTTTAAGGTGCCACCGGACTCCTTGTTAGCATGTTTTAGTGACAACATACAACACAATCCTCATAACTTTGCATGTATTAAAGATATGCATATATGGATAGAGAAATGACCTTCAGCAGATCATAATCTTTCCCCTGATACCTTACAAGGCATGCTTTATATGTAATATCATAATTATATACAGATGAGGAACCTGGGGGGTTACAGGATGCTCCCCCAACGTACAGAATGTCACAGTCCCCACGCCCCCTCACAACTTCCCCCCGCACAAGCCTCACACCCCCACATGGACACCCCCCCACATCCACACCTACCCCCACAAGCCACACACACACACTCCTCTCACACATACATATACACACCCACAACTCCCCATAGACAGACTCCCCCACAGCCCCTTCACAATGCCCTCATTTACAGCCATACAAATACCCCTCACAACCTCTCCCATTTACACAGAAACACTCACCCCTCACAGATCCAGACACCCCTCAGACTCCCCCCACACAGACCCCCCCACCCAATTCCATCTCACACGTGTATAGGCACATACAATTCCCCCCCCCCCCCATACACACCCTTCAGTTCCCCAGCCATGTGCAGCTGCATGGATAGCCCCCACATCCTCCCACCCACACAGACACCTGTCATTCATTCCTTTCATGCAGGTATACACACAGACCCCTCCCAATCCCCCTTCCACAGGCTCACACACACCTCTTGCATGTCCCTTTGGGTTGTGCACATCCGTCACACATTTCCACAACATGCACACGCTTCCCCAAGACACATTCCTAGAGAGGCACAAACCAGCCTCATATTTCTCCCCATACACCCCCTTAACACCCCCCGATATGCACAGACATGCCCCTCACCCCCCCACCCGAAGATGGATGCACATACATGCAGATATATGCACATCACTCACCAGCACACCAAACACTCCCACGTGCCTCAGCAACTGCTTATTACCTCCTGAACGCCATCCTAAACCACAGAGAGGTTCTTCCTTTCTGGAGCTTGCGTAACATGGGCAGTTGGTGCCAGGGAGCCATCGGAGGTACAGGTCCTTCGGGCACTTCAGTTGTCTGCCTCTGACTCACCAGCTCCAGGGGTCATAGAAGAAGAGGAAGGATGTGGGAGCAGGGAGAGTGAAGGAGGCTGTGTGTATGGGGAGTGAGGTGTGGGATGGGAAGGTACATGCAGCCGCTAGGGAGTCCTTTGGGGAAAAGAGGCTGTAGAAAGCGGTATCCTAGGAGGAGAGTGGCAGGGGGGGACGGGACACTGTCAGTGCCGGGGCCTGAGGTTGTGTGAGGATCCTTGGCAGTACTGCAGGCTGAGGCTGGAAGTGGGTCTGCACTATGGCCTGGTCTACACTACGAGTTTAGGTCGACTTTAGCAGCGTTAAATCGACTTAAGCCTGGACACGTTTACACTACGAAGCCCTTTCTGTCGACTTAAAGGGCCCTTTAAACCGGTTTCCTAACACCACCTCGACAAGGGGATTAGCGATAAAATCGGCCTTAGGGGGTCGGAATTGGGTTAGTGTGGACGGAATTCGACATTACTGGCCTCCGGGAGCTATCCCACAGTGCTTCATTGTGACCGCTCTGGACAGCACTCTCATCTCAGATGCACTGGCCAGGTAGACAGGAAAAGCCCCGCGAACGTTTGAATTTCATTTCCTGTTTGCTCAGCGTGGAGAGCACAGGTGACCATGCAGAGCCCATCAGCACAGGTAACCATGATGGAGTCCCAGTCCCAGTCCCAGGATCGCAGAAGAGCTCCAGCCTGGACCGAACGGGAGGTACAGGATCTGATCGCCATCTGGGGAGATGAAGCAGTGCTCGCCGAACTCCGAAACAGTAAAAGAAACGGCAAAACATTAGAAAAGATCTCCAAGGCCATGAAGGACAGAGGCCATAACAGGGACGCGCGGCAGTGCCGCGTGAAAATTAAGGAGCTAAGGCAAGCCTACCACAAAGTCAGAGACGCAAACGGAAGGTCCGGGGCAGAGCCGCAAACATGCCGCTACTACGCGGAGCTGCATGCCATTCTAGGGGGTGCAGCCACCACTAGCCCAAGCGTGTTCTATGAGTCCCTCTCTGCAAACGGGGAAGCGGGTTCGGCGGACGAGGAAGATGAGGATGGAGAGAACATAGATAGCTCACAGCAGCAAGGAAGCGGAGAAACCAGTTACCCCAACAGCCAGGATATGTTTGTCACCCTGGACCTGGAAACAGTAACCCCCGAACTGACCCAAGACCCTGAGGGCACACAGGGGACCTCTGGTGAGTGTACCTTTGTAAATATTACACATGG